TATATTTTTACAAAAATATTTTTAAAATTACTTATTAAAAATATTTTTAAATAATTTTTTTTCAAAGTTATTTTGTGCAGATACCTAATCCAACACATTTGATGCAAAATTTCACAAAATTTTATTAAGCTAACATGCCTTGTGTTATTAGAGAATCTTGTTCGTAATATCCTAAAGAATATATCTATAAACTTTCGTGAGTTTTGGATACTTCATTATCAAAATATAGACAAAAATGTTACACATTACTACTTTTGCCAGGGACTGTATTTCTATTATTGTTTTTGATATTGTTGGCTAATTATTTTTCATAGCTTGTTAAATATTTAATATATGAATAATTTTTAATATAAAGTTTAAGTAAATTCAAAGTATTACTTATCATAAATATGTGAATATATCTTGTTACTGATTTATTTTTATATTTGATTTCTAAACTTAACAGATTGAGAAGAATATTACAGATAGCTAGAATAAATATATAGTATATTATCAATAATACTTTTTCTTTATATTATTTAAATACTATATAATTGATATTTATAAGTAATTTATTATTATGAAAGAGATTTTTATACACAGTTTAATTTTTTTTTTACTTCTTTTCTATTTAATAAGACAAATGATAGAAGTATTATTATTGACTCTTACTAATTTTTCTTCATTAAATATTAAAAAAATAATATTTTAAATAGCAGAAGTATAATTATTATATTTATTATAGTATTTTATTCTTATTTAAAATTATTAAACAAAAATAATTAGTAAAAAATCTACAGATTTATATAATTTATAATGAATTTGATAAATATATTACTTTGTAAATATAAATATTCATGTATTATGATTCATACTATCAATATAATCTTTAGTATTTTTCACTAAATACTTTTTCAGTATTTATTAATACTTCTTGGAAATTGAAAAGAGAATTATAGGAATTAATTTTTTGACTATCTTCTTATATACTTGCTATATAAAATAATAGAAAAAAAACTTTAATAAATCTTACAGATTGATTTTTGACTTTAAAAGTAATCAAAAATAAGTATCTTTCAGAATATTTTAGATAGTTTGCTAGTAATAACTAGCTTTTTAATTAATTTGATTTGTTCTTATATTTAATTATCTAAAAATTAATAGAGATAATATATACTCTTAATTTTTTTGTTTATTTAAAGGTTTATCATTTTTTAGTCTACATCTGCTTCAATAGTTGTGCATATCCCACATGCAACCCTGTATGTTGTTGGAGATCTAAGCAGGGAAGAAGCCGAAGAATATTTTGAAAAGCATGTTCTTCCTCGATATGATATGTCTTCCTGGACCCATGTATTCATGCGCACTGAGGGCTCACATAATATTTATTATTCAAAAAAGAATGCAATGAACTCGAAGGCAAATTTGACCGCGTCTGCAGAATAAAAGGTACACGCATGCTGATTATTGATAGGTATGTTAAAGAATACAAAAATAATGGAGGAAAGCTTAAAGGTACATATCATTTTTAAATGATACTCATTTCTGACAATATTAATATTATTTGTTTTACAGATAGTAAATTTTCAATTTACGGATCAGAATATGCGCGGCCTTTATCTTAGGGAATTGAGATATTCAGTTAAGTCTGATCCAAGATCATCATTTATGGAGGCAATAGTGAAGTCAGATGGCCAAAGATTCATTTTAGAATATGATTTGATTAAAATCATCGGTTCTGATCCAGTAGATTCACTTTTAGATTATGATTTTCATCGCCGACCAACTGATCGATTTGCCAACGACATCATTAACCCGACAGATGAAATAATTCTGTCAGCCGTCAAATACGAACGATGGAGAAATCTTATCTAAAGTTACTAAAAGCAAAAAATAATTGCTAGAGTTAGAATGTTTCATAATTTCTCATGTATGTAATAATGAATGCATTGAAGCAAGCTATTAAAAGGAATATAAAAAAAATAGAGAGACAGGGTTTCAAGGGAGGAAATTTGCCGAGACCTAACCCATAGATGGCAGTTCCTTCCCCGCTATTTGTATAGCTATCCAAGTTCTTACTATCTACCCATAACCATTTCATCTATGTACTCATATATCCATCTTTCTTTCATAAAACCCTTGAACCGTAGTCTTCTCTCCAAATTCACGAATCTCCATAGACAGTGTTCTGGAGATAAATTCCTTGTATAGTTGTCTTTAAATTAAAAAAAAACTAACCGCCAATACATTTCGTGCAGATCGTGATTAGCAATCAACCAATGAAATTTGATAATAAATAGATCAGCTATTTCGGAACGCAATATTTTGGCATCCAATATATTTTAATAATTTCAGCATCACATTATATGATCATGAGCACGAAACATTTGAAATTTTGCTTTGCAGAATTTCAATTTGGAAAGTAACTCGGAAGTGAGATAATTGTCAAATTATTCTAGAAAACGTAAACCGAAGTTTCGGTTTATCGAGGTAAGGTTTGTCTATTTTATAAGAAAACATAAAACTCGGAAATTGGGATTATCGAATCTTGTTTAGATAGATTGGAAATTTGGATTATTGAAATATGTAACGGTAATATAATTTTGAATAATCCAAACTTTCTATCTATTTCGGTATAGGTGAACAAGTTTTGATATGAAAATTATGGAATTAACGAATTATCATTATTACGGTATTATTACGGTAACTTTATTCTAGATATTAGAAATATATATATTAGAAATGACCAGTGTTTCGTTTATAATTATTTCAATAACAAAAATATTTAACCTTTAAATAAGTAAGTAGCACTTTTGTTTTCCATAAATGAATCAATATTCGGAATCAACTATACGACCGCCATGCAACAAGTATTAATCACGCAATTAATAATTATATTGAGCTCTTGTAATAACTTGCAACTCGAAACTTTAAGTTACCTAATGTAATGACATAAAAAATATTTTAATAGCTATCACAATAACTATAAGTGCATACTTCAACAGTGAGCATCCTCTGGTAGCCTCGAGTCCGACAACGAAGACATGTGATAGATAGCTAGCCCATCACACATCAAATATCATAGATGGCTAATCCCCACAACATCATCAAACGCCGATTTAATTTCTAGTCGTCTTGCTTTCTAATGTTGTACTGCATATATATATATATATATATATATATATACAATAGTTTAATAGTTTAGCATATACAAACTAAATATAAATATAAAACCATTCATATAGGTAATCGAAAGCGTATGAAGTATAATGTTTTGTTTATCTTTTGCACGAATTGGAAGTGGATTATGCATTATGTCTTGTAGTTACAGACAAAAGTAATGATTTAAAAGTTTATTCAGTAATTGAAGAAAAATAGTATATGATCTGGTAAACCAGGTGATCTAATAAAAATAAGCTGTTGATCTTTTTATTAGTCATATCGAAATACACCCTATCCTAGCTATGAAATATTTCAATTGTGAGGGTAAGGGTTATATTACGCACAGGGATTTTCGTTAAACTGATCTTAAAAATCACATGACTCGAACATTTTTTCGCAATGAGCTAGAGCTTTATTTATTATATTTATTACGTAATATAAAACTGCAAACAGCGATAATTTTCTAGGTTTTAGAAAATATGAGGATACGTGAAAATTTTTTGTACAAAATTTTCGTGATGTAAAACTTTTTGCATCATCAGTGTAATGTTTAATATAAACATTTTATTTAATTAGCAAGGTCAAATAATAAGCAAAAGTAAAATCAACAAATAAGCGTAGATGGAAATGTGTTTAAGCCATAATATTTGAAGAGTTTATTTTAACTCTTGACGGGGAGCAGAATATTAAGCGATACTCATCCTATTGCATAATAATATAGGCATCCTTAGTATAATAATAAACTTGTAATTACCCTAAATAATGCATTTGCGTGTTCAAACATTGTATTAGAACGAAACAAGTGTGGTATAATTTTTTTTAAAATATAATAACTTTGACTAAATTATATTTTGTATAAAGCGGCTTTTTCGCATGGAGCACAATTGGAAGCTATTTCAAAGTTTTAAAAATTAGGAAATCGTAAAAGCAAATTAATGTCTCCTACCTCTTTTTGATAGTGTTCAAAATTTATTAACTTTATAAAAAAGTAAACTGTGACTTACGATGAGTAGGATGAATAGGATGAGTCGGATCTTTTGATGTTGCAACAAATACGAAAATCGTTACAAATATGCGCGAATTAGGAGAAAGAATACGAAATTAAAGCAAATTTTTTATCAATGATTCCTTCAGCTTTTGAAACAAAGAGTTTAAAATTTATTTAACTTTATAAAAAAGTAAATCATAACTTACGACTTGGAGGAAGATCAATTGGGCTTGGAGGTTCTGGATAGAACAGTGCAACAAATATGAAAATCGTTACAAGTGCGCACGTGTTAAGAGAAAGAATATGAGAATCGAAAAATGTACATGCAAATATTTTTATCAATGTCTTCTTCATCTTTGACAACAAAAGCTTACAGTTCAAGATTCATTAATGTTATAAAAATAAAATTATGACTTACGACCAAATACGAAAGTCGTTACAAGAACAAGGATTAAGAGAAAGAGTACAAAATTATAAAAGATTCTTGCCATAATTTATGCGTTCAGATCTTTTGTTGATTAGGAAAAAGGTACTCATTTTATACATTATAACGATAAAATCCAGAGTCTATACAGTACTGCATTTGCCTATCTTGGGCATGAATCGTTTACCGAAAGCGATGAGTGTGAGTTTCAGCCATCGTGTAACTATTAAAAAAACAGGTATAGTTGCATATTTTGGTCAAAATATTATTCTTTGAAAAAATAAAGATTATATGTATACCAAATTTCTTAATTGTTCTTTCTATTACATTTTCAGAAAATCTCCTAGTAAAGATCATAGCATATTTGCTTAAGAGCCAATTTTCAATTCGCTTCAAGAAAATTTGCTAATTTTACAAAACTGAATTTGAAAAAATTTAGATGTGCCAAAACCTGAAACACATTATACTAGAATCCGATAACTGTATACCATGTCCCAAAATGAATGCATGAAAGCCTTTATCTAACGTTATGACATCAACAAATAAAATTTTTATAACTATATTTATCTGCAGATATGTATATATTAAACGAAATTCACAGATTATCCGTGAGATAAATTCTATCTTATGGCAAAACCTTCCTTAATCGTAAATTGTTATGGGAAAATCTTCCTTAATCGTAAATTGCTATGGGAAAACCTTCCTTAATAGTAAATATTGTTAGCTTTTTTTGGAAATATCTGATAAACTGTTCTATTAACAATATGTGAAGATCGATTAAATAGGAAACAACATACATGTATTTTTGTTATCAATGACCTTATGAAAGCTTTATAATCGTTAGTGAGTTAACATTTTAAAGCTATTAGCTATCCTCCTAAACGTAACGGTAAGTCATAATTCTATTTAGCTCAACTTTTTCGAGCTTCTGTACCCAAACGCAAAATGAAGCATGTTTAAATGATAGAAATTGTATTATGCGTACATTTATCTATTAATGTCTATGAGCATTTGCTAAAAAATTTGAAATAGCTCTTTAATGCAATAATGTTGGGTGCAGACGCATCTGTCTCTACGTAGTCTGCAGTCCGGCTACTTAGCTTCTTTTGATTTGAGATGCTGCTAACTATAGTTGTAATATTGGCGGATTCACAAATTTTATACATATATTATATTTTTACTGTCATAAACAATCCTTGGACTAAAGAATTGCAGATACGACAAGAGTTTGCATCAGGATATATCTAGCTAACATGTACAGTCGCCACAGAAAATAATGCCCATTTGCGTTTATACAAATATATCGATATGCACCTTTTTGTTATTGTTGACCCTATCGATATGCACCTTTTTGTTATTGTTGACCCTAGAATTTTTTATTTTCTTTTTTTAAACATGCTCTAGGCAAATTTGTTAAATGTAAGTTAGTGCTTATCATACTCAGTAGTTTTTTAACTTCTTTTAAATATACATTTTTTTTCTTGATCAATAAGAGCTTATGATCTCCCAGACTGTGATAAATTTTTGTCTTTTCTACATGCATTTCTTTTCTATTTGGCAAGAGATTATTGTATTATTATCAGATTATGACGCATTTTTCTTGCAAGCTTGCTTGGCACTCAAAAAATCATCATTTTACCCTTTTCAGCTGAATTAAACAAACTATATAAAAACTGATCTGAAGTTTCTTTAAGATAGTTTTGTTTCTTTTCATAATATAATATGTTTATTAATTTGAGAGACATGATTTTTAGTAAAATATTACTTATTTTACATTGTGAAAGAAATTATGATATAGATTTAAATAGAGAAATCAATAATTAATATGTTTTTAAAATTTCAAATTCATAAAAAATTCAATATATTAGTTCTTGAAAAGTATAGATTCAATATCTCAAGTAATCAAAGTGATATTAATAGTAAAAAAGATTTTATATACAAGAAAATAATAAAATATATTAGATATATAATATAATATATTTGAATTTTATTTTTAAAAAAATAAAGATTAAATTTTATAATAATATATATTATTAATATTATATTATTTATTAAATATTATTACAAGTTATATTTAAGAAGATAGATTTTATCTAATATATAATTGAGTAGAATCAAGATTATTCTAAAAAATTTTCTAGTATTAATACTTAAAAATATTATATTAATATAAGAATTATAAATAAAATAAATAAAAAGATGTAATTATAAAAAAAATATCAAAACTAAATTATAAATCAAAAATTATAAACTAAAAATTAAAAATATTATTATCTTTTTAAGTAAAAGATTAAATTAAAA